CTTTTAAAATAAATACCTTATGATCTTCAAGCATTTTTTCATTGACTTTTAAATATTTTCAATTGAAACTTCCATTTGACAAACTATATTAATATATTCGAGTAATAAGAATTTGAAACAAAAATAAAAACGCTGGTTAAAATTTATAAGGTATCAAAGACCATTCAGAGTTTTTACTGGTGCTTATCCGGATATTATTATACAAGGTCTTAAAATTTGTAACAGGGTTATATTTTGGTTGGAGCGTTATTGATATAAATTATCATTATCTACTGTTTTTTGGATTGTTTAGTCTTTTAAATGTTACATAAAGTTAGGCCAATAACTTCTGCATTTCTCAATCTCTTAATCATATAGTTAAATTTGTGACTCGTTTTTCTGACAACCCTAATCAATTACCTTCAATCCTTGATTAATGTCTGACATTCCAATTAGCTATTTCAATCTTTTATCTTGAACTTCCTTTTCAGACTATCATCGAAGTACTTACTACTAGCCTAAAGCTGACTAATTTTTTTTTATGATTTTCTTTGTGACGGTTCTTGGGTTGATGCCTTATCCCTCTCAGCTGTTGAACGCATTTCCTACGTAACCTCCTGTATATTAGAATGAAAGCTTTTATTCCTTATGGTTGGTTTCAAGTCAAGCATCATTATATTCTATGGTTTTCACCATTAAGTGCATTTGCTATACCTAATTGTAGTCATTTTTTTTTTTTATCTTTTTCAAAAGAACAACTCTATTAAGAACAAACGGCTATTTATTGTTGAAAGCAATTGATATAAAACGGTGCTGTTAGGTGCACCATAAATCTGAGACTGAACCTTGAATCTCAGAAATTTGAATCTTGAATCTCAGAAGTTAGACTCTTTCGGAAAATTTTCAACAGCGTTGTTAACAAATATAGTTCTAACATTAATGGTCTAACATTCCATCTCTCAAATATGGGATTTATCTTATTACCTCTCTATATGGTAAGGGTCTTTAATTGCAAAAATTTTTCTTCAAAATCAACTCTTAAATCTTTTAGCCATTCTCTTCCTTACTTTCCAATTAAATTGGTTAACCCATAGTTAGATATTCAAATCACTCCAGCTTCCATTGCAAAAGTCAAATCTTGATTAAACTCTTCTACGGTCGAGACAAAATTCCTGTTATAGTCTTACAAAATTGTTCTCCAGGACTCTCTCTTTAATTCTCTATAAACTATTTAAAAAGGGCTTGACATCTGTGGTTCCAATTTTCAAAAACTCCGGGGAACATTCTTACCCCTCCGATTATCGTCCGATCATTCTCTCTGTTATTAGCAAGGACTTTGAGTTTGAAATTTCTCATATCCCATATTGAGACTAATAACTTACTGTTAATTAATCTATGTGGTTTTTGATCCCCCTGTTCTACAACTGACTTCTAACTGCTGTGACTAAAAGATTTTATCGTTTATTAGATGAAGGCGTAGAAGCTAGCGTTATTGGTCTTGACATATCTGACGCTTTCGACAAATTTTGATATGCTGGTCTTCTCCATTATCTTGTTTCATATGGTGTATTAGGGAAAGTTTTTAAGATTTTTAAATCAGTTCTTTCTAACCGTTTTATTAAAGTCATCCTCAAAGGCCAACACTCTTCTTTATTTCCCGTATCTTCTGGAGTACCTCATGGTTCTATCCTTGGTCTTTTTTTGTTTCTTATCTACATAAATGATCTTCCCAGCAATCTTACATTCAAAGTATCTCTATTAGCTGATGACTCAACTTTAAACTCCTATTTTGACAAAAAAAAAATTATTTTCGATTGCTTAGAACAGGCAGCCGATCATGAATCTGATCTCACTTCTATAAATAGTTTTGGCATAAGATTTACATAAATTAAAAAAAGAAGAGGCGCAAGATTCGAGCCTTGAGGAACACTGCAAGTTATTTGAGTTATTTCGTTTTGGCGTCTGTTATTGACGTGGACAAATTGTTTTCTATTTGTTAAACAACTTTTATACCAATTTAAAAGATTGTTATTTATCCCATAATATTTGAGCTTTTGCAGTAAAATTTCATGATCGACGGTATCAAATGCTTTTAATAGATCAATAGATACACCTAATGTGTATTGTAAATTGTATTGCTTTCTATCAAAAGATTCAGAGATTTGCCAAACAAATTGAATAATTGCGTGTCCCGTTGAAATGCATTTTTTGATGCACACATCTGATTTATCACCATTTTTGTAGATTGAAATGACCTTTGCAATTTTTATTTTGTCCGGAAAAATCCCTTGTTTTAAAGATGCTTTACAAATTTTGAAAAGTATATCTCTTAGGTTTTTGAAGCAATCTATAAATATGTTACTATTTATTTTGTCAAACATCTCGGGAGTTAGTTCAATCGATAATTCTTTGTTAGTATTTAGATCGTGTCTATAGTATTTAGATCGTGGATAAAGTGTCTATAAATGAGTTATCAGTATTCTGTTTGAAAGAATTTATTAATTTTTTTTGCAGTTTCACTAAGTTCGTAAATAATTTTGTTTTCAAATTTAAAAGTGTTTGTCAGGGAGTTTGAAGATTTTTTAAATTTTCCAGTTAATTCTTTTATTATATTCCAAATGGGCTTTGAGGCGTTTCGTTTGAGTCGTTTTGAAGTTTTTTGATAAGATTTGAATAATCTTTTTTTTCAAATTTTTTCGAGTCTTCTCAAAGATATTTCTTCTCAAAGATATTTTTTTTCTTCTCAAAGATATTTCTTCTCAAAGATATTTTTTTTTTCTCAAAGATATTTCTTCTCAAAGATATTTTTTTCTTCTCAAAGATATTTTTTTTCTTCTCAAAGATATTTCTTCTCAAAGATATTTTTTTTCTTCTCAAAGATATTTTTTTTCTTCTCAAAGATATTTTTTTTGCTTCTCAAAGATATTTTTATAATTCTTATATATTTTTTTATTTGCAGAAGATTTTGTGTTTAGATATTTTACATATAATTTTTGTTTTGTTCTGGAGAATTTCTTTTGTCCTTTTGCTATCCAGGGTCTATTTAATGTTTGAGTATCTTTTTTTTTCCGCCAATTGAAAAGTTTGCTTCATAAACTGAGTAGAATATTTCAAAAAATTTATTATAAATGTTGTTTGCGTTATCGTCAAAGTTAATTCGGCAAATAAATGTTAAGAAATTAAAAAAATGGTCTAATAAATTAGTTTTTACAATACCTGTTTGAATGCTGTAATTTAAAATGTCTGTTGAAACAATATTATCAATAAGAGTTGATGAATATCGTGTCATCCTAGTTGGACGATTTATTGGCGGAAATGCTATCGTTGTAAATATTTCAATATAATTTTTTTTTACTTTATTGTCATAATTGTATAGTATAATACAGGCAGTTTATAACAAAGTAAGAATCCAAAACATTTGAAATAAGAAATGGTTAAAATAATATCTCAAAAATATTTCAATATATTATCCGTAGAAAAAATAATATTCTTTAACTTGTTTTTAAAAACAGAAAAAGAGATAGATGAATCTAAATTAGGCTGTACAATTTTATTCCAGATATAAGGTGCTCGATAATCTATACAAAATTGATTAAACTTTGTTTGACAAATGGGTTCTTTTAAATAGTTATTATTTCGCAAACTATATTTATTCTTTACTTTAAAGGTAAATAGATCTTTAAAAACATGAAATAAGGGGTTATTCATACAACAAAACGTAAAACATAAAATATTGAACAAGTTAAGTTCATAAACATTTAATACATTCATATCTTTAAATAGAGGTTTTGTATTTGGAAAACGATTTAAAAAATATATTATTCGCATTGCATGTTTCTGATGGCGGTAAAGACGTTGCAACTTACTTTTACCTGTACTATCCTAGGCAATATTTGCATAGTTTATATAGCTATAAATAAATGAGTAGTATAGTTCTTTTAAATTATTTTTATTTAGATAATTTCTGGCCTTATAGAGGATACCAATACTTTTCGCAACTTTTGTTGATATATAATCAATATGAGCTTTCCATGTCATATTTTCGTCAAGATAAATACTTAGAAATTTTAAAACGGAATCTTTTTTTATTTCTTAAAGCGTTTTTTTGTTGAGGAGTGGAAAAGGATCCACTTTGTTTTCTCAATATTTAAGGTTAATTTATTGCATTTAAACCAGTTAGAAACTTGATTAAGTTCTTTATTCATATCTAAAATAAGTTTTTTAATGTCTTTGTTTGACAAAAATAAATTGGTATCGTCGGCAAACATGATGCTTATAAGATTCGAGGCCTTATTTAGATCGTTGACGTATACTAAAAAGAGAAGTGGGCCAAGGATAGAACCCTGTGGAACACCACATTTTATTTCAATTAATGTTTTATTTTGAAGAATAATAGGAAGCAATTCTTCTCCGTGGTAGACGAATTGCTTTCTATTTGACAAGTAGCTTTTATACCATTTGATCATTTTACCAGTTATTCCGTAGAACTCAAGTTTTTTAAGTAAGATATCATGATTGACTGTATCAAAAGCCTTTGATAAATCGACAAAAACACCAAGTGTATATTGTGATTTAGCAAAAGAATTTGAGACTTCACGTGTAAATTGAATAATGGCTTGTTCAGTTGAACTATTTTTTTAAAAGCCAAACTGATTTTTATATAGTAAATTATTTGAAACCAGGTAGTTGTATGTTTTTTCGAAGATAATTTTTTCTAATATTTTTGAAAACGTAGGAAGGATAGAAATAGGGCGATAATTATTTACGTTTGATTTTTCTCCTTCTTTATAAATCAGGATATCTTTTGCAATTTTTAATAGATCAGGGAAAACCCCTTGTCGTATAGATGTTTGGAAAACTTTAAATAAAATATTTTTTAAACTTTCATAGCAATCTATATTAATGTTCCCGTTTATTCCATCCGCACCGGTTGCTTTGTTTCATATTTAAATTCATATTTAAATCTCCTATTAGAAAATTTTTTTTCTTTTAATAGTTTCCTTTGTTAATTATTATTTGTTGTAAATACAAGCTAAAATTTTCGGATGCATCATCAGGTGGCTTGTAACAACAGCTTAAGAGAATATTGTTTTTTTTTTTTATTTGTTGAAAAATTATTATGGTTAGGATTTCTTGACCGCCCTCAGAAATGCTCAAATCATTCCAAATACAATGTGCAATGGTATCTCTTATATAAATCAAAACTCCTCCACCACGTTTACTTGTTTGTCTTTCTAATAAAATTTTTTCAAAATCAAAAAGATAAAAATTAGAATTATTTTTTTTATCATTCAAAAACACCAAGTTTCGGTAAAACAAATAATATCAAAGATGTTTTCTGTTTCTTCTAAAAACTGTCGAAGTTTTGATTTAAATTTCTTATAATAATGTAGAGAAGTCTAATTTGTTTACAGTTTTTTTTTTTTTTTCGTTTTTAAAAAGAAATTCTTTTATTTCGTAAGGATAATAATGCACTCTTTGTGCGTATTATTAAAAAATTTACGTTTTCATTTGATTTAATACATTTGTCATAGAAGTCAAATGCAAGTAGATCTAAATCACTTATCATTTTTCTTTATATGTATATTTTTCTAATTCAAAAGAATGTCTTTTTTTTATTTTTAGTGACACGCAACAAGTTTGTTATATACGACTCTTGCACACTTACCGGCGTTTCGTAGTTCTTTGACTTCCGCAAATAGTAGTTTTCTTTTTTCAATTGTTCGATAGCTAAAATCATCGTTTAAATACAATCATTCGTCCATATCTTGAGTCTTCTGTAAAGCTTCAGTACTTATTTCTTGTCTTGTAGTTTAAAAACTTTTCAATTATTGTCCGTCTTTTTTTCTTCTTACAGTTCTTTTTTTCTTCTTACAGGTTCTTTGTTTCTTTTTACAGTTCTGTGTGTTCTTTCTATATGTACTTCGTTGTTAATATTAAGTTTTTGCTTTATAAAGCTTTTTATTTTTATTTCACTTTCCTCTCAGGTTTCGTTATCTTTTTCTTCTAGTCCTCAAAACGTAGCTTAATGCACCTACTCCTATCCTCTAGTTCAGTTATTTTATCTTTAAAACTCTGCAAGATTCATTTTATCTTATTTATTTCATCATAGTTATTTTATCTTTAAAACTCTGCAAGATTCATTTCTTTACTGAGTTTAATGTTGCTTTAAGTTTTTCTTTAACTTCAGTTGATTCATTCATTCTTTGTTCTTAGCGAGTATTGAAATTGAGTATTGAAAGTTCGTTGCATCATGTGTAACAACAATATCTTTTTTTAAGGTTGTAACTTCTTTTTTTAATTGTTTATCTTTTCCTCGAGTTTTTCAATTCTTTAAGTAAAAATCTTTATTATCGTGTTTTCATGCACTTCTAAAATAATGATGTTCTTTCTTTTCTACACAAGGCCCAAAAACGCATTGTAAACGTAAATGGACCCGCTCTGCTAAGCTTAAACCTCTTTCCCATCGTCGCAAAGTTAAATCTCTTTAACTTTCTCAAGGAGCTATCATCTCTAGTTCTATCAACTAAGACTTATTTTCGCTTCACTCGTCATTCAGTAAAATGTCTTATTTGTTTACTGTGTCTGCCCGTGGATGCTCTATAAACTTTATTTTTCTAGTTTTTCTTCGCACTTCAACCCTTTGGAACATTTTTCCATCAACGTTTTCCATGGCTCATACAACCTTTAACTTTTTACGTCTTCTGGCAACCGTTTTCTTGCTCTATGACTCTATTATTTTTCTAGTAAATCCTGAATTAATGTTGTTAGCAGCATTGTTTGTAGAGAATCAGAATTTTAAAAAAAATGAAATTGTCTCAGTAAATTTAGAGGTGGTTTAGAAACTAAAAATGAATGGTTTTTAGACAATACTTCTTCTATTATTACTTAGTTTTAGTTAAGAACACTCATAAAAAGATTTTAAAAATTAAATTTAGACTGCAACAGTATTTATTGACCAAAAAAAAGTTTAAAAGTTTTTGTTGGGTTGATCTATGCAGTTTTTTATTATGCCATGATTTTGCAATGCTGTAACACCATAGTTTAATGTGTAAGTTTTATAAGTCATAAAAATTGCATTGTTTCAACCATAAATTTAGGAAAATTACATAACTGATTATATCAAAAATAAATTGCGTTTGATTGTAACTAAATATCTCTAAAATACGATAACTCTAAAATAGTTTTAATTATTTTAGGATCATGTGTGCATACTCTCCCTTGTACATGAAAACAAAAACATTATTCTTAATCACGATTTTAGTTTAATGGCATATGTTACTCAATGAAAATTGAGTCAGTAAGAAAATCTAATAAAATTTTTTTTTTACTTGTCTTCATAATTGCAAATAGCTCTCTAAAATGTTTTTTAAATTTATACGAGCAGTTTCTTCTGCTTTAATAGCTTGCAGGCTTAGCCAGGGCAGAGAGATTTTATGACGCCCATGGCATAGCAAATATTAAGGGGCTCCTATTGGGTGCATCACTTGGTTTCATAATTTATATAAAAATAACACTATTTTTCAAAGCGCATTACTTTGTTCATATATAAAATTTTAATTTGAGTTTCTATTTTGCGTTTTTTAATTTAAAAATGTTGTGGTAGGTTTTACTTGGCAAAATATAATTAATTATAATTAGTTATATTTTTTTTTTATTTTTATACAAAAAAGAATACTTTGTATCATTTTATTTTCAAATCTATATCAAATGAGGTTGTTTGTCAGAAGCTGAATATAATTTCTTAATGATTAGAGGCTGGGAATGCCCTAACCCTTTCTTCTCCTTATCCTGTTCGAAAAAAAGATTTTAAATCCTCGTCTCTAATGAATGGGTTTTCCATCAAAAAATTAATCGACCTCATATCGTTTACTTTGTTAACACATTTATAACTTCATCACTTTTTTTTTTGGGAAATATTTTATTTAAAACGTACTTTAAAAAACTTCTCATTTAAAGTGGTTCTAAGTTTATCGAATATAAGCTGTTATACACCTGATTTAATTTGAAAATGTAACAAATGGTATTATTTTTTTAAAAGAGAAAAATATTTAACTTAAAATCAGTATAATATTTGTATACAATATTTTAATGTTTACAATATTGATAAATTAAATCAAGTTAAAAAAGTTAATACAAAATAAGATTAAATATAAAATTGACAATTTTTATTTTTTTATTTTATTCTTTTCTTGGACAAAATGTTTGCTTAGAACGCTCTTTTCTAAGCAAAGAAATGTTTGCTTAGAACGCTCTTGATGCAGCATTCTATGCAAACATTTGTTTGTGTAGATTTTTTTGTGGATTGTTTTAGTTGATGTGCGGCGGACCAATATAGACATTTTAAGCTGTTCGTTTGAATTTTGCTCATCGGTTCCCAAGAAAAAATATTCTATAGAATTTTTATAAACTTTTACACATATGGACTATAGGAATTCCATAGAATTCTTTAGAAATTTTTCCATAATCTCTGTTAATATCTAAAGTTCCGCTATCGCATGTTTGCAAGGGTTCTTTGCATGAGTGTGATTGCTCAACTAATATATTTAAGATATATTAGTTAAGTAACCCATATCACTCTGATTAAGGTTATGAATTTTTGTCCACAAAAACATTAAAGCCATACCTGTTGTAACCATACCTGTAAGCCAGCGAGAATAAAACTCACTGTTTTATTCTTGCTGGCTTACAACAGGTATGGTTTTGATTCAACATTTAAAATTTGCAAGATCTTGAAAACATTTTACTTTGATTGCATTTACATATCTATAACTGATAGATAAGTGATATAAGCATCAGGAGAAAAGGTTTTTATATTTTTCATCAAATTTTGAGAGTTCCACTCTGTCTGAGAGTGATCACCACTCCATCTGGATGTGGTGTAAAATTGCAATTTTTTGTCATATTATTTACATGCTAAATATTTTTTGTTTTGTTTTAACTGTTAAGTTTTGTTTTAGCTCTAAGAAGATTCTTATCTTAGAGCTTCTTATTTTGTATTTATGAAAATAATTATGTATAAAAAAGAGTTAATGAAATATATTTATAAAGTTTATGAAGTTTGCGAATTATAAGTTATTTATGAAATATAAGTTATTAACAAAATATATTCATAAACAAAGCCCTTTTTTTTAAAAAAAATATCCTAACAAAGGTCATCTTAAACAATAAAATGTTTTGTTTGGATAAGAATAAGTGTCTACTTTTTTTTTTTTCCTTTATAAATTTTTACAACTACATATTAATTACAAAATTTTTTTACACTGCGATGACATAAACAAAATATACTTCCGATACAAAAAAATTAATATTTTACAAAATACCGTTAAGATAAACATAGGAAGCAATAATTAAATATGCTATGACTTGAAAAGGGTTTTGACTGTTGCAGGGAACTCGTAGAAGACTGAGTTTAGTCTTATCATCGAGAACCTTGGGGTATAGCATAAAGTACATGTATAAACATTATGATTCTCATAAAACAAATATTTTAAATGTTATTGAGGTAGACTTTTTATATCTTTTTATTATACTATGTATAGTGTTAGTGTTGTGGTTTATAATAATAATAATAATATTACCTTTATTTTTTAATTAAAAAAAAAATACATTTTCATTTTTGATTGATTGCTGATTGTTTGAATGTGAGCGTAAATATTAATTTATCATTGGAGCTAAAACATTTCTAAGTAATTATCTGTATTGAGAACATGATTTTTAAATTTTGACTTTAAAGAAGTTATATTGTCAGTAAGAGAAATTGAGGTATAATTCGGAATTAATTTGTTATATAAATAAGGGCCGCGATAAGAAGTAGAAAATTGTGCATTTTTTTGTCTTTTCTGGGGTACAATAAAGTTACCAGTTGATCTTGTGTTAAATTTGTTAACATTAGATTGAAAGAAATTTTCTGTAAATCGGTTTTGAACTAAACTTAATTTGTATTTTAGCATGAACAATACTTTAATTTCGTCAATATAAAAAAAACAAGTAAAATTATTTATTTTTTTTGGTGACCGACCAAAAAAAGAAGATAAGTTATTTAAAACTTTCATTCTTTTGTAATATAAATAAGACGAAGTTAACTACTGACTGATTCCATCGTAACGTGAGTTACTTTTGAACAATAGTTAAACTCGTAAACCGATGGTTCATACTTCAGCATAATGCTTTGTGAAATTGCAATTTATCGCAAAATATTATTTAAACCATACAACAAAAAATATTCAAAAACTTGTTCTAAAAAGTTGAAAATTTCTTATCTCAAATTATAAATTAAAAATCTTTCCGTGCGTTATTTGCACACATCTAAAATTTTAACAAGTTAATTTTGTTATTAAAGTCAAATCAAGTTAAACTTGTTATTAAAGATTAACAAAACCATAAATTAGATTTGGGAAAAAATTTTAATAGCGGATTAAATTAACAATTTGTCATCGTTACGTGTGTTACCAGTCTCGTTACGCGCGTTACCGCGTGCAAAACATTTAATAAAAGCAATCATTTCACAACTATAATAGCAAAAGCGTAGTGAAAACAAATGTAAAAGTAGTTAAATGAGTAGTTAAAGAGTTTAGACGTTCATGACGTTCATGACGTTCATGATGTTCATGACGTTCATGACGTTCATGACGTTCATGATGTTCATGGAAATAAAAATGTTTGTGGAGTGAAACACCATAAATGTTCGGGTTTTTGAACCATTAAGTGACGAGGATCAATTTTTTTAAGAACTTGTCTTTTATCGTAAAGCATCACATCAGCTTTAGTTGGCAAAACCCTTGAATTACGAAACAATTTTTTTTCAACTGTGGATTCTAAAACTTGATTCAGCATAGCTTCTTTTACTTTTCCAGGAAATTCTGATGCATTATAATTAAAGACACACCAATCACCTACGGAGAGTTTCAAAATTGAACTGCGACCATTTTCATCTATTTGACGTAAGTAATCTGAAAATAAAATGATGCTCTTTATTTTGTCTAAAGCTGTTTCCCGCAGCATTATTTAGCCGCGTTGATTTGCTGTGTTGCAATGAATTGCTTTTATGCCTTCAACATCTTTATAAATTACTCCATCGGTTAAATTCGCTGGCTAGCTTATCAATCTCTTCTTGCTGAACATGAAAAGTTATTGTTTTAGGCATTAACATGGTTGCCAATTCAGCAAAATCTTTAGATGATTAAACAATGGTATTAGCTCCCTTTAACAAAATTTTTTGACGTACGAAATATTTTGCTTTCCCGCCAATTGCGCCAATTACCCCTTTTCCATTGGAAGTGGAGAAATACTTCCACTGAAAATTTTTGTGTTACCAGACCAGAAGTTACACCATATGCAACATGTATTTATTTTTGAATTCAGACGATGGTTCATCCGACCAAATGATTTCTTCATCGTAATAATTTGAATCAGGCAATATCATACTATAATTGTATACTTTGAAAAGAAATGCAAAAACAGTACCTTATTTTTTTTCAGAGTATCGGAGAAAATAATAAAACCTTGATGTGTACCCCTTAAAAATGTAGCTGCTGTAAAAAGAGTAACGCTACATCTGCTCCACATAACTGACACATTGCTGACTGGATTACAGATTAATATTCGCATGAAAATGACATTGCAAAATCTATTTGCAGGATTCTAGAGGTACATTTTGTATTGTCTTCAGAAATTTCTTTATCTTAGATTCTTTTCACCCTCACATGCTTTACAACCTTTTCAAAACCCTCCTAAATGACACTAATAAGTTCTCCAACAATACCCTGCTGCTATATCTTGCGCAGTTGCTTCTTGGATTCAGCAATGTCGTTACGTTTGACGTACTCATTAATCCATTCGTACCAAACTGCTATGTCTTCCACGTTCTTGTTAGATTTAATATTAAAGCCGTTTTTACATAATTTGCATTCGTTTTTTCAACAGGACTTGAACATATCTAATGCACTAGAAGAACACAAAATATCATCCCACCAATTATTTTTATACACAACGCCCAATTTGCTCAAACGTAGTTTTAAATTTTCATGCATCACACATTTACAATGATCAGCTGGTGTATTTTTTAAAAACAGTACATTAGGTGGAAAGAGAGCACAAAATTTGGAAAAACAAATTTTAATTGTTTTATTATTCTGAGAAACAACGTATATGCCTCACGTAGGAACATAGTCAAGTATTACTTCCTCAAAGTTTCTTTTCTTCCATTTTTTCAAACAGCCATTGTATCTAAAATGCCTACCAGTTTAAATAATGCCTAGTTTAAACAATGTCTGGTTAAAAGAAAAAGTATTTTACTAGTTTTTCAATATCGTCTTCCAAACTTTTCACATTGCATTTTTTAAACAAACATGCTGCATTAATTTTAGGGCCAACATTTTCAGCAACCTTGTTAAGTACTACAAATCTTTTATTGGGAGACAGTGGTAAAGCTTTAAAACAACGTTTTACAGCTTTCCCAAGCGTTTGCGGACAACGAAATGATAATGACGCAGTTGTCGTGTTTGACTCACCCAAAATTTTTCTAGTTGACGTTACCGTAGATTTCATAGTTTCAATTTTTCTTAGCTTTACATTTTGGAACCCTACTTTACACCTATGTTTAGTTAACTGTTTCTTTGTCATTTTAGCAAATTTCACAGCATGAACTTGTGCAATTCTTTTATTTTTGCAAACTTAAAATTGTGGATCTTCCTTTTTCTTTTTCATTCTAAACTTTTTATTTCTTTCTGCAGAAGTCAAGGCTTGTAGGTCCCATCAAAATTAAAAAAGAAAACAAGTTAACACGACAAAATAAGAAACTGCGTTGAGATTTGCGCTTCCAACTGTAATTTGAATAATTGTAAATCTGTGAACCTACGTCAGTTAAAATATTCGCAAATGCAACTAGAAAGTAAATAAATAAATCCATATTCATAGATACGTGGTAGTAATTATCGTTACGTGGGTTACCCAATTATATTATCATAAATTTAAAAGGCAATTAAAATCAAAGACACATGATATCAAGTATAAATAAAGCATCTAGTTAAACTTGTTTATAATATTAAGTCATGATATTAAAAACAATGTTATATGTTTTATAATGTTGTGCAGCATTAAAAAATTTGCGTTTTCGTTACGTGTGTTACCACTTATTGACTTACTGGGAATCACGGTAATATTTTTGGTACAGCGGACCGCCGTCATATTTTACTTAAATACTGTCACATGTGTGTTGGTAAATATTTTTTGAGAAAATAATCACTCAACATATCTAGCACTTTTATTAACACAAGTTATAAAGATTAGAGTTCATTTACGTAAAACTTATATTTTCCCATACTTGCATGTCTTCTGTATTAAAAAAACACATTAGAGAAATCATAATACGTTAGTTGCTGCATTTTATGACAATTTAGTATGTTTTGTACAAAAAATAAAATTCATTTTCTGTGCATTATAAAAAATGTGAATTTGTTTCACCTTTCGTGAAATCAGTCTACTCTGCACAATCAACAAAAACAATATTTTTATTTTATTTTTTAATAAACTCTTATCATGTTATTTAAGGATAAAAAGTAAATTTAATTTTAAACAGAGTTGGGTAATAAACTGTAAATTTAGTTTTTACAAAAAATAAAATATAGCCCTATATTATTAAAATATTTTATATAGACACTTAAAATCACTGTATAAGCAATAAAAAAGCACTGAGAGTTAAAACTTGACGCTTGCAAAGATTCCATTAGTCACAAAATTAGTATATACTAATGAAATCTAATGACTATGACTAATGAAATCTTTGCAGACTAATGAAATCTTTGCAATTTTTGACAAACAATATGTATTCAACTTATACATATTGTTTGTCAAAAAATAAGTTTTAAATCCACTAACCTTTAATCATTATCATTTTACTTTTTATCTTTTAGATATTCTGATAAAATTGAGTTATAAAATTGAGCTCTTTTTCTTTACCACTCCACCATTATTGTTGTTTTTCGTGACTTTAATGTTTATTAAACTGAATGGCTTGGCTTTAAAATAACTGATTCTGACATTAATATAGAAACATACCTCCAAAATCTAAACGCATCTAAATCACCAGGCTCTGACGAATTACACCCAATAGTTTTTATAAAAACTTGCTCTCAAATGTCTAAACATTTATCTACTATTTTCAACAAAGTCCTTGAGAGTGGATCAATACCCCAAATATGGAAAGACGCAACAATTTCACCCATATACAAAAAAGGAGACAGATCTAAAGCAATTACTTATAGACCTAACAGTATAACTTGTAGCTCCATAAAAATCTTTGAAAAAGTTATAAAAAAACATATTATGACACACCTGATTAACAATAACTTATTTAGTCCACACCAATATAGATTTCGTCCAGTTCATTGCTGCTTAAGTAACCTTTTAACTGGAATTAATTATTGGACATTATCACTTGATAAGAATATTCCCATCGACAACATTTATCTCGATTTTGAAAAAGCCTTTGACAAAGTTCCACATAAATTTCTTATTTCTAAACTTAAAGCTTATGGTATAAATGGTTCAATACTATATTGGATAACAAACTTTTTTGGAAAACCGAAGACGAAGAGTTGTTATAAACGGTAATTATTCCTTCTGTTAAAAGTGGAGTTTCCCAAGGCCTTTCAGCGTTACTCTTTATTATATATGTCAACGATATCCCTGAATTAATCAAATCAAAAGCTGCTCTTTTTGCTAATGATACCAAAATTTTCCGATCTATTGATTTTGTAATACACTTTAGGACGAAACAACAAATCCCATACTTATAATATGCATGATCCAGAACAAAATATACGAGTAAACATACAAATTGCGAACGAGAATTAGACGTTTACATAGATTAAAACTTATTATTTTCAAAACACACAACTATTCAAGTTAACAAAGCAACACAAATAATCGGAATAAGAAAAAAAACATTTACATTTTAACCAGACTTATCATCCTTCGAAAAACTATTTACAACTCTAGTCCGTCCTCACATAGAATACT